CAACATACGAATGTTCTTTGTACCAATATTTGGGTTTCTTTATTCTTCATTCTGAGRCTTTAATCCCATCATTTTTTGCTTGATATTGGCAAGATGGATTAACATAGCATTAACAAAGCTGCAGCATGAAAAAAAAGAGTGAGTAGTGTATTCAGACCAGGAGGTTATATCTTTTTCTTTCAATTTAACAAAGCAGTAAAATGCATCRCTTCCTTGATCAACTACATTTGAAATTGCTAATACACTTTTCATGAACTCAGTACCTTCCCAGGCATTCCTTGCCAGACCATAATTGTGTGGTCTTCTGAATGGTGGTCAAATATAGGAAAATAATGGGACTTCTTGAAAAATTAAAATTCTAACTTTTCATTAATTCAGTTAATTTTCCAAGATAATGAACTTATAAAATAATTTTATGTAGAATTGTAGTTGTATTAAAATAAAATATTTAAAGTAAATTAAAATAATAYTGTTCTTACCTGAAAGCTAGTAGCACCTAAAATATTGGTTTTATTTGTAAGCTTCACTCTTAGAATATATAAACAGACATTTTTACCTCTTTGTTCAGAGTGTTTCTAGCTCTTTCACCACTTACCATTTTCCCTTTACTAACTTGTTCACAATTAGATGGCTTCTTTTATCAACAGTGAGTGGTAATATCAGGTAACTTTTACGTCTGTTACACAGATTTATAAATAGTARCCACTTCACCATTCCCATGGTGAGATGATGGGAAAGGTGCAGATAGATCTGGAAAGATATCAAATGGCAAACATAGACTAGCCAAAGCTAGTTAAAGCTCAAGGTGGAGAGGAAATAGGATAGAATTTAAAGTAATTTTATATGCAGTTGTTAAACTATCACTGCTTGTTATGTGGTGGAAGAATTGTCTTTCTTGAGAAAATAAAAGGTGTTTAGCACTATATGGATAAGGTGAAAACTAAAAAGAGGGGTTTTACTGCCAAAGGAAAATAAAAAGTAATGCTCCTACAAGATGTAAGGAACATCTTGTTCATAAATAAAGTGACTTTTTAGCTGAAACTTACAATACTTGTTTACAGATTAATATTTGACAAAGGTAGGGTTTTGTTTTAAATAAAATGAAGATCTCTTTCAAATCTGGAACAATATCAGAAAGATCTCTTTCTTTATAGAGACGCTTTCAGTATTTACTGTTTGTCAACTGTATCATCCACCAGGTAAATAATTTCTGGTGGAATTAGTTATAACAAGTCATGCACCTGTAAGAGCTTCTACKAAGTAATTTATAAAAAGCACAAATTCCTACATGGTATTTTCAAAAATAGATTCTAAAACAAAATAGTGTAGTATGTAAAAAGAAGAGACATAGGAAACTGCATTTTACTATCTGTATAGAAATACTTGATTGATGGATACCAAACAATATAATGCCCTTTGACCCTTGAGTGTTATCTTTGAATTATAGAAAACTAAATAATTGTAGGACATATTCAAATAGTCAACACATCTTATAAAAAAAAACCCACCAAAAACAAACTTAGAAGATAATTGATAGTATACCCTAAAGCAGATAATTGAAAGTATACCCTAAAATAATTGAAGGCAGCAGGAATTTTGTAATGACTTAGCCATAAAAAAAAAAAAAAAAAAAAAAAGCAAAAAGGACTGTCTTCAGGTTTTGTGTCTAGTTTGGAACAGATATTTAAATGCAAGTTCTTCTCTGCTGAGGAGATGTTTCCCTGCTCATTTGGTGGGTGCTGAGGGAAGGATGATTTTCTTTAGCCTCTGGTGAAATGCATCATTATAAACTTCCAACATGAGAAAATTACTGATCAACTGTATAACATCATGGTCATGCTCTTAAATTGCAGATAGTTTTAGAATRTTCTTTCAAATGGGTGGAATGTGAAGGTATAATACATTTAAGAATATAAATGAGCAGATATATGAGTTTCAGAGACTTTTGCTGTTTTCTAAATTTTTAATTTTGCCAGCTGCATTAATGAATCATAGCAGACAAAGTCGAGATCATTTTCTTCAAAATTAAAAATTTATTTTCATCTGAAACTTGCTATTTTCTTCTTAGCAACAGTGATCTCATTTTGACAAAATCCTGGTATATTTAAGCTAGAATGTTTCTGATACAGACAGTAGTTATGTTTTTCTATTATACACAATCCCATTCAGGAATACATAAAACTTTTTGAATCAAACATGCTAGAAATGACATTTTTCTGAATATTTAGTTAGAAACATTTTGTGAGAGTAATTGAATTTATTAGTATTCCCAAGAGACAATTACTGTTTCAGTGAGAACAAAACAGAGTCTCATTAGAGACATGAAAATACCATGTATCTGTTTGCCAAATATACCACTAAACTGTACACAAAAGAGCTGAATACTTATTAATAACAGCAAAAKGATTGAATGCTAAGTATGGTTATTGATGTGAAGTCAAAAAATGTAATTGGCTAGTCTGAACACATTGATATGAAACATATTTTTAAAATCTGTCAGAACTGATCTAACTGTGGTTTTACTGAAGCATAATGTAGGATAGTGGCTAATGAGCRAAGACATAAAAAATATAGAAGTTTAAAATAATGCTTTGCTGGCCTAAATATCTCTTCCCTTTTTTTTTTCTTGATTTCGGGTTTCTTTTTCAATATCACATTCAAGAACATCACAAAGTGGCAAAATTCCTGTAGTTTGAATCTAATCACAATTGTTTAACTGGTTTTGTCAACCAGCACTGAACTCTACATTCAGTGTCATTATCAGCAAGGCAACAGGRAAACCACAGCATTAGATGCCACTGRTCTAAGATGTTAATAAATGCATACAAAKATCTAACATATAACAAATATGCACAATCCTAACATTTTCTAATGTTAAGACTCATGGTGCTGTGTGTACTTTTCATAGAATCTTAGAATGGTTTGAGTCAGACCTTAAATGTCATCTACTCTTAATTCTTCAGCCATGGGCAAGGATGCCACCAATTAGAACAGGTTGCTCAAAGCCAAATCCAGCCTGGCCTTGGACACTTCCAGAGATGGAACATCCACAACTTTGGGCAACCTGCTCTAGCACCTCACTACTTTTTTAGTGAAGAATTACTTTTCTCTTACTAATTCACCTTTATGGACTACATGTGTTTTCTTTATTTATTTTAAGGAACTGCAGTAATTTTATTGCTTTATCAATAGTCTTTAAATGAGTATATCTTATTTTTTTCTTTTCCTTGATGTTATACCTAGTTACTAACACCTATTAAAAATCTGAATTTCTTTTACACAGAATATTTTGGGGGAAAAGATAATGTTTTGAATACAAAAATGGAAATTCTGAAAAAAAAAAGGGAAGGAAAAAAATAGCATGCTCATTTAGATATGAAACATTCGGGTTATTCCTAAGATTTATCTTACATGTCAAGTTTTGAATCTTACTAGAACACATAGTTTCTCATCAATATGCATATCCTTACAAATTAAAATCCTGAACTCTCCAGAAGCTAGATGTRAAATTAGGCTGGTTTCTAATGAAAAGCATTGCCTTTAGGTTTTCTAAAGATTATTTTCAAACAGACCCCTAAAGAATATTTTCCAAATACTTTCTTGTAGCATCCTAGTTTGTCTAAATCACAATGATTTTTTATATCACAAAACAGCTCTAGTGGTCAAGCATGCATGGTCCACATAGYCAAAAGAAGGCTGGCTTCCCCTTTTTCCAGCTTCCCTTTCCTTGTATTTAGCCACTTTCTMTCACTCAGTTTTTTCATCTGCAAGGTGCACTATTTAATTTTTACTCCTTTGCTCAATTTTGTGCAGTCTCCCTTTTTATRAGCCGTTCCATGTGGAGTCTCTAGAAGGAGGATGAGTTATTCCTCCTCCTTGTGATTTCTCAGGATCTCAGACTCAACTGCTGGCTTCCAGCTCCATGCTGTGCCTCTCACGTGGTCTTCTACTCTCTATGTTCTGTAGTCTCTGATCTGTCTGTGGGMAGAAAATGGCCTGTCAAGGGCAAAGAAAGCTTCCAAACAGCCAAACCTGCATGGTAATGTAAACACAAACTTCTGAGGAATTAGAGAGCTTGTGCAGAGTTTGCTGCGACTCTGAAGGTCACTGTCTGAGATCAAACCAAGTCCGAAAGCGAGGGCCGATGTACCAGATGCAATGGGCAAAGGGAGAATTGTATAAAAAGCTTTTTTTAATCTATGTTCTGTCCTTCTTGGTCAATTTGAAGCTTTTCTAAAAAATCTCTTAGTCTCATTTTTATGCTGAAGACATAAATTCTATTTTAGTTTTAAAATCTGTTATTTTCTGAGAAGCTCACTATAAGGAAAATGTCTAGATAGGTCCATGTCAGAGCTGTGGCCAGTTCAGGGTCCTGTCACACCACTGCTCTGTGCCASTTCTACATCTCCTTTTTATTAGGAYCCATTTGCAGGTGTTATCATTGATTCAGGTCTTKCTCCTTAGGCTTGCCCGCCAAGACTGTGTTCCTATTTTGCCATTTTCCCTTTATGATAATTTAAAATCTGTTGTTCTTATCTTTCCAGAAGGCTCAGGCTTTTCATTGAGTGATGTGTATCTCACACAGTACAATCTTTTCTTATTCRGTCTGAATAACATCTCTATTTCATTTCTGTTCAAAATGTTGCTGTTAATATTAGCTCCCTGAGTGCTTTTTATAGTCTGTCTCTTGTGTTCCTYCACTGGTTCTTTCCTCTATCTGCAAAGACCACAATAAAAGTGGAGAAAAAGGATATTATAAGAGATTTATGGGTTTATAGATGAAAGATGTTGGTAATTCAGCATCCAAATTCATTTTAGTTGAAGATGGGATGGACAGAGGAGTAAAAAATAAGTAAGCGATGAATGAGAAATTCTGAAATACCAATGTTTTTGTGAAGTTCTTTAGATTGTWTTTTTTCCTCAGGGTCTTGACAAACAAGTTGGCTGAAATTGAGATATCAAAATAACTTTGTCTTTTTTTGTGTATATGCATTTTTTAGGTCCGAACATGGATTCTTACAGTGGGATACACAACTGCATTTGGAGCAATGTTTGCAAAAACATGGAGAGTCCATGCCATTTTCAAAAATGTAAAAATGAAGAAGAAGGTGAGGGGAAATAGACTCTTTTCTTGTTGCCCTGTTAATACAATTTTCTAATTGTTTTCATACCTTTCCTGGATGGCCATAACCATGCTGACTGTTCATGTGTCACTTCCAAAGATCCTGAGTAGTTTGACATTATAGCTTTTTGGTTTCTTGTTTGGTCTCTGCCACTTGGAATCAAGCATCAGCCCTCTGGTCTTTATCATAAGAGGTGGACAGTGCAGTTGGCTGTAAAATGGCACAGTGAATTTGGATCCTTGCTTCGTCTTAGTATGTCCCTTCAGCATCCAGAGGTCTCTTTCTGGTACATTCACAACATTTATGAAATATTGTCTGATTATGTCTGTCTGAAATGCAGGTATTACCTGCAGATTTCTCAGATTTCCTCATGGTAGGAGGAGGCAAGACAATTTATAGCTTTCTAKTTCTAATTTTCATTGAAATTGTGTAAGTTTAAGACTAATCAGAACTGAACCACAATAGCTGTCTCTGCATTTTTGGTACAGCACATTTTCTGTAAAGGATTAAGCTCAGCTTAGGAGTAGTGCAGTTCTTCATTATATTTTTCCCATGAAGCTTCTTTTCATAGATGAAGAACTTTTAATAAGATGGTTTTATTAAAAAAATTTAAAAAACACTCACTAGAAAATATTTTGATGGAAAAAACATTACAATAAATTTGCACAAAACAGAAAAATAAAATTAATAATATTATTACAGAGTGAGCGGAAGCACCAAATGCAGCTCCTATGTGCATCTGAATAGTTTTATTCTAGTAACCAATAAAGAGTCATATATAGCCAAAATAAGTAGAACAATATCCTAAAATCTCATCAGGTTTCTCTGTTTCCGTCTTAAGTGTTGTTGTGGAAGATGTCTGTTATTAATTTTTTTTGTTAGCACTATGTTATGTTTCTCACTATTCCAATATGTAGGGAGTCTGTCACAATGGGATCCATCATTCCCTCAAAAGGAATGGACTTTAGACAGACAGGAGAGAGTTAACTCAGTTTCTAAGAGGATTTATATCTGAGGTTATTAAAGAATTACATGCTGTGTCTGGAACTGGGTCTGTTACTCTGGCACCCTAACAACACAACTACCTAGTACTTCCCCATTATTCAATCATGTCAGGTTTGCTGACATTTATTTAAGTAAATCCCAAATATCCTTCATTGTAAAACRTATTGATGAGTAAATACAAAATGTCTTTAAAAGAACTAAAATTGTAAAGTATTTCTATACCCAAACCAAGATACTCTGGGTACCGTGAACTGGAAACCACCCTTTCTGCACCTGTGCAAAAAGCCCGCTGTAATATATCAGTTTATGTTGCTGAAGACTTCTATATTTTTTTTTTTTCAAGGATCTTACACTTCCTATATTGAAGGTTTTTAACCTAAGATGAGCTGGTATTTTACCTTCCTGACAAATGAAATTTTGCATTGCAAGCATGTTTTCAACTATATAATAGTGAAGATACTGACAAGATACTGACAAGATACTGACAAGTCTAGCATATAAAAGTATTTCCTTAATTACCTTTATTACCCTCAGAATTTTATAATTTCTACAATACATACTATTTCAAATAGAAATGAACAAGTACTGCAGTGGACTGTCACAAAGCTTTTTCTTTTTTTTTTTTTTTTTTTTTAAAAAGTTTTTTTTTTTTTTTTTTTTTTTTTTTTTTTTTTTTAAAACATCACATTTTAGATCTTCAAGTTGCTAGTTGGTATTAAATGTCACTGGCTGTTAATTAAACATAATCTTCAAATTCTATATTGCCCCTGTTCTTCAAGGGGCCCACCAACAACTGCAAATTGCAATTGTTCATGCATAGCTGATACTAAAAATTATTCAAGATCAGTTAAAAAGACACTGACATGTATAAAGGAGATAAACTTTCACACATCTGGATGCTAACMAATGAACTGCTTTTCTCTGGGTGATAGTGGAAATGTCAAGGCTRTAAGATCATCTTCTTGAATATTCTAGAATTAAGTAAATAACACATTTTGTTCTTAAACTTTAAGAATGCTCTATTTAGATATGCCACTCCAAATCACAAGCATGAGTCATGAAAAACAACAGTCTTCTCGATGTAAAACAAGTCAGTTATCCATGATAAGTGTTTACTAGTCATACATTTTCTGTCTTTGATTTGCCAGGATRGATAAGAGTGTTTTTAGGAGCTGACTGAAAAACATGGCATTCTTTACTTATGTCTTGCAAAAATGACATTTCCATTTTCTGCAGATGTAGTTTACAGCCAAAGTATTTTCTATCTATGGATGCACAGAAAATAGAAATTTTCTCAAACAGTATCTAAACTGACAAATGCGCAAAGGTAGCTCTGCATGAAAAAGCACATTAATGTTTCCTGAATTAGTTGYGCCATGACAGAGCAGACTGACATTACAGAACAGAACAGTACAAAGTTCCAAAATWATTTAAGTACTGTGGATCCTCTTCAGCTGTGGTTGCTTCAGTTATTACCTGTTTATAAATATGACAGTAAAATGGTGTGACCTTTGGGCATACCACCTTTGCCCATCATCCTCAATATTTTCATCAGGAAAGTGTTTCCCAGCAGTGAAATTTCTTCACAGAGCGAAAGCATCTCTGTGTGGCTTTTGAAAATGYTGGTTAATTAATTCTTTGAAAGTGGGTGTTAAAGTAAGGAAGACAACACGATGAGTGAACCTGTTTATCTTTATCAGACAGGGAAAGCTTGCTTCCTTACATTTACTCTTCACTTATCTCAAGTGTATAATGTGGCTTTTTGAAGAGATGAGTTGATATCTCTTTGATTGTGAGAAAATATAGAGAATTTTAAATAATAATAATAATAATAATAATAATACTCTGTATTAGTTCAGTGGAGAGTGAAACGAGGTGAGTTAGTGTCTTGAATTAGTTGAAGATTCTCATTAACTGCTGTTTATAAAGCCTATAAACTTATAAACTGCTGTTTTCAAAACCCTATTTTATTTTTACCCTTTTATATACCCACTCCTCTGTTACTGGAAATTAAYAAACAATAAAATTCAGAGTACACTCATTCTGTTATCAGAGTACTAAGGACAAATTTTGCAAAATTCCCAGAGCTCTGTTACCATCTTTGATCTTGCTAGGACTCAAAGGAAACAAATTAAAAATGCATTAATTTTAGATGGATCTGAAACAGAGGGGTGCAAGGGAATCAATTTTTGTCAAATGGAAATGACAAAATCAGTAGGGGGAAATAATTTATTTTTGAGTTTTGAAGAGGTTAGCGGAGATAATGGGAAGTGGCATAGAATTAGTATTAAAAATAACTGTAACAGTTATAATTGAGGTGCAAWTCTGGTTTTCATACATTTCCTTTCTGTTGTTTTGGGCTTCAGAATGTCTTCTGCTCAGAGGGAGGTGGAGACTGGGTTTTGTTTCTTTTGGCAGCAGGAGGGCTGGCAGCAGATAGGAKGGGAGAAGGGAGAATATCAGTGGCAGGAGAGCGTGTGGCATCCTGGGGAAGCTTTAGCTTGCTGAACCATTTGCAGAAGCCAACTCTTCTGGCAATTTAGAAGGATGAGAAGCTGTCCTTTTTAATGGGATCTGCACTGTCTTGAGGTTTTGGGGGTGTTGAAGCAGTCCTGCACAGTGACTGCTCCTGTACAGCTCCTGCATGCCAAATAAAGCCCATCCACTCTTGATAAATGCCAGAATAGTAAGAAATTCAAAGCAATGGTATTTAAAGACTCCATAAATTTTATATATTCTGCTCCTACAAAGACAAGCATTTGGCCATTTGTAGATGGCTACAGTAAAGCATGAAGATGATCTAGGTGACGATGTTTCCCTGTTGCATTTGTTGTATCTAAAGGTACAATCCATCCCCCTTGGCACTGCCATGATAAGCTCCTCTTACCCTTAACAAACTACATTCTGGCTTTGTCTGTTTGGACTTAATTCTTCAACTGTGGCATCAGAGAAGGGATGTTTTATCTTCAGTTTTCACTGAAAATATTATCATAGTGCTGTTATTACTGCCATGGCATATGTCTTTATGTTGACAAAGTTGTTACAAGATAAATACAGAATATAATGACACAAGCATGTATAAAAACCTCCTTTCTTGAGGCTTGTGCTGCTATRGTTTTGCCAGCATTATTCTTTTCTACTCCTGCATGATAATTCATGAGCTTTTCTCTGTACTGGTAATATCACAGGGTAAGAAAGCTGCAACTAACCACAGCTGAGAAAATTGACTTATCAATCTAACCTGATTTATCTATGCCTGTCAGGCTGCCATCTGGCAAACTTGTTTTCATCCATTTGGCCTACTAGGTCCTTATAAGATGCTGAAGATGGGTAGGACATTATGGAGATTACCTTTTTTGACAGGAGGATGGGGAAGGGAGGCTGCCAGTACAAGGGAACTTCAGGGCCAAGAGACTGGGAGTGGGAAAGAGACTGAAGAGGAGAAATCAGGTTTGCTGCAAGTGACTTCAACACAAAAGCCTGCCCAGATTTAAAAATAAATAAATAAGGAAAACCTTGGGATTATATACAGGGAGAAGATGTTGAAGATGGAGACTGAATTTGGATTAAATTTCCCCTGGAAACTAAGTTTGAAACAYGGCAAAGACAGGAAGGTCTGTAAGAAGTGATCAAGAAATCTGAGTATGATGGAATGTAGAGCCTGAATGTGGTATTTATGTGGCAAAACTAACTGAGGGACTAGGTCTCATATAAAATTAGGTTAAGATTGAAATTTAGAGGCAGAATGGGAGGCCTGAAAAGCAGGGACGTGGTCTGGGAATGAGAAAGGAGAAAGAGTCAGGAATAAAGTTGAAATTAGGACTGGCCAAAATGATTGYGCAAGAAGTGTGGGCAGAGCATAAAATCTGAACACAGAATTTTGGAATTTCACTGTTCTTTTTTCTATTACTATGTGTCTATAAAACCTGAAGGCAAAATATGTGCCTTGTCTTCCTGTTATGCASTTGTACAGATCCTGA